ACTCCGGGAGCTCTTGGAGCCTTAGCCTTGTCTCGAGAGCTCAACAGGGATTAAGGCAACTCTAAACAGGTGTAGGGTGGTAAGGAGGCAATCGGCAGTGTATGTATGTATATATGCATGTGTGTATGCATGCAGGCATGTATGTGCACATATATCATATACATATACATATACATATACATATACATATACATATACATAAACATACACGAATACATGCACACACACACACAGACCCGTGTGTGTGTGTATATATATATATAGAGAGAGTAGCATACGTATATTGCATATATGTATAAACATATATAGGAATCCTGAATCCTCAGTTGTTCGACAGACGATCATCTATCCTGGACTCGGGCCCGTGTGGTCACTAAGGAGACCAACGGCTGGAAGGATGTTGAGCTGCACGTGCCTCTGCCGATTTTAGGGCATGCACGGGTAGGGGCAACTATGGGCGGTCGAGGACTCATGAGTCCAGGGGGCAAGGCCTGCAGGGAGGGTGTAGAGTTTGGTCGGCTGCGATACTTGCCGCTTTTCCGTTTTGCATCTCTTATGACCGGCTAATGCACCCAAATCCCTAAATGCTGCCTCTCTGCAGGTCTTCGGAGACGACCGTCTGAACTTTGGCCGGTACAAAGAGGGCCTCGTGCCCAATGAGCAATGGGCTTTCGCAACCTGCATAAAGACAGCGGGTAGTTGACCCGATTCTGGGATGGCAGACAAACTCCCAGTGTCCTATTTTTCCGTCGGGACTGTAGAGGACTACGGTGATCTGAGGAACTGGATCGAGCCTCCGTGTGCAATCGTTGGAAACGTGTTTGGGTGTTCCCCCGATCTTCTGATACAAATCGGAGATAGACAGGACGTGAATACTTTGAGCCATGGGGCAGCACGTCCACGCGGATGCCGATCAGCATCATGCTTCCCGAGGCGTCACCTGTACAGTGTACAGCTGCAAAAGAGACTGGGTCAAAGGCTTTTGCTGGCTTTTCAGGTGCTCTGAATCATCTTAATTTACATGATCACCCGTCGCCACCGCCCAATCACCACTGCGTTTATGGACAACATGCGCAGGCCTGCCTCGGCATGGTGATTTCACGGAGAGCCCGAGTTTTGCCAAGGCTGTTGGGCCCGAGTGGTACGGCTGGAGCAAGGGCACCCATGAGGACGGGAGCAGCAACTAGTAGGGTTAGGGCTTGGGGTTTGAGAGGTGAGTTCGCATGCGAATTCGGACTTCGTTCAGCGAGTTTCCGCTGGTTGGTATTTACGAGGGAGGGGCCGATAGAGTGTTTCACAACCACGATGATTCTCGCCCTCAAGTCTGGCTTCCTATTCCGTTTCTAGGTATGATAGTATGGAATTATCGAATCCATCGCACATCGCTGGTCACAGTTTTTGGACCCCTTGTATCAGTCGCAGCTACACGACTGAACCCAAGGGCTCCCCCATAGCCCCAAACACGGAATCCCGTTGCACCTGGGAATGTTCCTTGCTCCGAGGGGCTTCCTGGGGTTTCTAAGCCTTTAGGAAGCAGCGCCCTTAGGACAGAGACCGTCGAGGACCAGAAGTGCGGAGCTCAAAAGGCTCCAACTCTTTGTAGGGTACGGTTTTGGAGTGTACACACATACACACACTCTAAAATTAGGTTTAGGTTATTTAGATATGGTGCTGGTCTTAGGGTTTCAGGTTGTGGCTACATTAGCATTTGGAGTGATACAAGTGACGGCTACGACCTTCGTATTCAATCTTCAGAGCAGCGTCTTGGCTCCATCCGCTTGTCCTGTCTCGCCCCGACTTTGCGTTTGGCCCTCGACGCGCAGCGAGCCTCGGCAGAAAAGGGTCGGGCCCCGCAATAGTTGGAGCAACAGCGAGGAATACACCAAAATCCATTGCAGTTATCTGCCCCGTATATTGATAACCGATGATACTTGCCCTCGGCTTGAGAGCTGAAGGGAGAACGCCGCAGGACCAAAGCTCACTCTGTGCATGGTGGCTTTGAGCATGACCCGCCGATCCTGCTGCGAGTCTGTAGCCGGTCGACAGTCGAATCTCTCAGGTCCTGCCCTGGAAGAGTGTCCAATAGCCCTTAATGAAGGAATATACCTTAAATCATACTAGGGATCCTACTATAGTTTAAGGTATATTCCATAATTAAGGGATATTGGAGTCTCTGGGAATGTTTGTGAGGCCATGGCAGAGGAACAGCGCACCTCAGCCCTTCAGATGCAGCTGGCCCGGCAGACTCTTGGCTGAAGGCAGGGGTTGCCATTCAAGTTTAGGGTTTAGGGTTTTAGGGTTTATAAGGGTTTAGGGTTTAGTTTAGGGTTTAGGGTTCACGCCAGACTCCGGGCAAGATGCTTCCCTTGATAGTTCATGGGCTCGACTTCCCCACCCGTTTCCTTCCGTCTGCTGAGGTCGCCGTCTGGGGTTTTGGCAAACCTCCGTGCCCGTAGATTGGGGCTCCCGCTGCTTGACTGCAGGACATCCGCGTCCTTTCCTTTGGACTGGTGGGAGACTAAGCATGGCCTGCATCGATATCGAAACCTCGAGAGCTGCATGTGAATACCAACGAGTTGCAGACTCATGCACCTGTTCTGGCCTCTTGCGCTCCATATGGGAGTTTCCGAAAATAAGGGGCGGGTAGCTTAATTTGGGGGTCCTTTTAATAAGGATCCTACCATTTAGGGTACTATATTAGGGTCCCCTTATTTCGGAAATCCCCATATTCAGTGCCGAGCATCGAAGGCTTCCTTTCGCAGCTGCTGCTCCGCTCCGTGCCGACGTTGGCCGCCTTAGCAGCAAATCAGAACACTGCCCATAGGCCCTTAAGTAGTTCCTTTTTATGGCTTATATTTAGAAGCCTATAAGGTAATCCCAAAAAGGAACTACTTAGGGGCCTATGGGTGGGTTTCAGCAGTGCATCAGGAGCCTGGGAACCAGCATGTTATTGTGCCGCTGCAGGCTCCCTTTTCAACTGACTCAAACTACCTATAGTCTCCATTGTAGTTCCTTTTTGGGGTTACTTTAAAGGATCCATAGTATATAGTTGGTTAAACGCCAAAAAGGAACTACAATGGAGACTACAGGTACGAACCCTACAAGTTTGCAATCAGGGAGACTTTGTTTCTTTAGGCTGGCCTTGGCGCATGGATTGGGGTGGCCACGACCCAGCGTCTCCTGTGGCAGAGATGTGCCTTGACAGGGTTTCGAGTTAGAGTTTTCCGCAGGGTTCGACTGGGTCTGATTTCGGACATGCTCTTCCTGATCATTGATTGCCTTACCTGAACCCCAAGGAACCTACCTTTTCAAGGAGTTATATAAGTACATCATAAGAAGGAACCCTAAAAAGGTTCGTTCTTTGGGGTCCAGGTAGACCTTAAAATCCAGAGAGTTGGATGTTTTGAGCAATGCGGATTGGGGGTTTTGGGCAAAGGGCTCAGGATTGCAGAGCCCGATTCTAGAACAACATGCATTCCGGATTCAGGCTTGTCAGGGAGAAATTAGTGCCATAGAACTTGACATTCTTGATGCACCGGGTGGGGATTCTGGATTAGGCTGCAGCTTTACTAGCGTGCTTCTGAGCCACGTAGTTTCTAGCCCGATGCCATTCTCCTATCGTGGCCTATCGTGCCTTCACAGCCTCCGGCCATACCCATCAGGTATTGCTTTCTTGTCGGACTTGTTTCGCCTAGGCTCTTGGGAGACTGCATGCCTGCTGAGGCACATCAACTACCACAACACTGGCTGGGGCATCATGATTTTCGCCGCTTGGACCGGGTTCACACATCCTGACCTGAGGCCTGAAGATCCTGGCACATAAACAAGAAATGGCCGACGCAGGAGAGGATGCGGAGGAGGAGTGGGAGGAGGGCAGGAGGCGTAGCAGGAGTGGCAGGAGACTTACATACTATATGCGGTTCTAATTCTCGAGAATTCCACAACGTAGCGCATGCTTCCTGAACGGTTGAGGGCAGTAGTCCGAATCTTCCGCTTCCTGCTCTTCGTCATTCTCTTGCGTATTTATGGTCATCACCACGACTACGTAGTATCATCCGGGCAGCGATGCAAAGAAGCTGTGCTTGGCCGACTGGCTCGTAGGTTGCTTGTTTCCCCATGGCATCGTTCGGGAGTGGGGAGGAGCCCACAGCACCCATGCGTTCGAATTGCCGGTTTCAAACTAATCTCCTCCCGCGAAATTGTCAAAGCTCTGTCGTGGGAAACCTCAAATCCAGGTCTTAGCCCTAAAAGCTGCGCCTCCTAATCGTCACACCCAAAAACCTGTATACCCGGCTCCGCAGCAGCAAGACGTGTGCAACCTCCGGCGATTTAAGCGTTTCGGGGCACGTTGCAGAACCCCGCGCCTCGTCTTCATACTACTGAGTATGCCGTTTCCACAGGGGTAGCAGAGATCGGTTTGAAGCATCGACGAGATCAGAAAGCCCGAGCGAAGGTCTGCACCTCTGTCCTGTACCTCATGTCGAAACGCTGAGAGTGCCCGAGCATTTTGATCTACTGCCCGCTCGGCCTGCCTCCAGAAGATGCCCCATGGGCAAAACAGTTCCAAAGGATTGTAATATGGGACTGTTTTGGGGTCCTTACAAATAAGGATCCTACTATTTAGGGTGCTATATTAGGGTCCCCTATTTTCGGAAACCCTCATATGCTGAAAGGATCTATTCCATGCTGAAGGCAGGTGGAGCTGGCTCGTTGCTTTCCTTGAGCAGCGGGTCTTTGTCAAGTCATAGCTAGAGAGAAAACGGTAGTCACAGATAAGTTGACTCGCATGACCATTTAGCTGGTAGTTTTGCACAGATGCCCCCACTAGGCCCCAGGCTGTAAGTAGCCTTTCAGGAACTCAACTATTGCGGCTTGTTGGTCAGCATCTTCCCGATCGCTTTGCAACTTTAGACACGATGGTAGGAGCTATTCGGAGTCAGCTGCGATGGAAAAGTCATCTGCGATCTGCCATGCACTGCCATTCAACGGTCTGAAGGGTGAGGAGCATTGTTGTCTCAATGGTCTGCAGTATCAGATATTCGGTTTACCTGTCTGCATGTGCCCATGGTCAGATGCAAGGAATAATCAAGCACAGCAGGCGCTATGAAGTTCACAAGCAGAAGCAAACTGAAGCCAAGGACCGGCGCCCGCGGCAAGCCGAGGCCAGGCAACACAGGGTTGTTGTTTCTAGGTTCTGGTGTCCAGAGGTTCGTGAACGCGGAGTCGGGTCGGTGTTTCCTGACTTGAGGGCTTCCATCAAAGAGTTGAGAGCTCGAGCTTGAAGAGGCCATCTCCTGTAGGGTAGGGTTTAGGGTTCAGGGTTCAGTGGTGTCAACCCTGAGAGGGAAACCGGGTGGACTGCCGTTTTATATTGATGGCCTGCGCAGCTTACCACTTCTTTGGGTGTGCAGAGTGTCGAGCTCAAGAACCTAGGTAGGGTTGGCATTTTCGGGGACTGGTCGTGGAAACTATATGCTTACGCCTGCAGTGGACTGTGTGTATGCAGGGGCTGGCAAGCCAGCTTGCATTGACGCTGGGACGCTGGTCAGGAGTCTTTGATACAATCTCTTCGACCGCCGTTCTGCATGGATTGCGAGGTCCACAGGATCCTTTCACCGAAACACCAGCCTCCGGAAATGCAATTCCAAACAACCAACACTAAAATCCCGGCCTGTTTAGCACATCTCGGCTCTACGTGGCTCTTGAAAAGCCAGCTTCGCGGCCTGTACTGCACGTGGCCGGGGCTGCAACAGTTCCGAAGGGCTGGAGTTGTTTCGCAATCTCTCAGGTGCCTCAGTTTGTCACGCTTGAATCTGCCACCCCTGCCCCCTTTCAACAAGTTTAAGCATGCATTCAGTTTGCCTTACCGCTTCTTAGCTGCTTTGTTTTTGAAGGCCGAATAAAGATCTCTGCAGAGCAGGTCTTTCTTAAAGATCTGCACCTGTTTTCACCTCTCTTTTGGCCGAGGGCAAAGCTCCGAGAATTTGGCACACTGCAGAAGGAGAAGCACGTTCTAATTCCAATGAGAGCCCCAAACTTGATACGCCCTAAGCCCTTAGGCTCTACAACTTATGATTCATGATTTCTCAACCCCCCCAGGGCATGGAAACCCTTTGAAGCTACCTCCAAGCTGTTTTGGGGAGGGGCCGAGCCTGAATTTTGCTCCCATCTTGCGCACAGCATTCCTCGGTTGAATGCTTGCAAGGCGCCCTTTGTTAGCTACTTTTCCGTTGATGCGCGTTTGGGAAAGGGGGGGTGGGGTACGACTTCGATAGTTGGTGAATATGAGCTTTTACTTGTAGCCGCTTTCCAGCCCAGGACCATGGCAGACGAGAAGCGCAGCCCCTCCGCCTTGCAGGTGCAGCTGGCACGGCAGCCACTGGGACTTGTCGCAGACCGCACACTTCAGGCCGAAATCTACCATGAATTCTGCTTGCACAGTTGGTTCTGGCACTTCCCGGCTTGAGAAGACATCAGTGAAAGACAGCAATGGCAATGATGCAGTGTTCTGTCAAGCACCGAACACTTGCCTCCAGTTGCATGACGTGGGCACCCTGGCAGCCCTGGCTCCTAGATCCAACTTCGCTGACTCGTGAGTCGCCGAGGTCGCCATCCGGGCTGCTCGCAAACATCCGCGCACGCCGCTTGGGTCTTCCGCCCCTTCCGCCGCACCAAGTAGATCATTGTCTGATATACCGATTCATACCGGCATCAGCAAGAACTTGGATTTGAACGTCGGGCAGGGCCTGCTTGCTTTGGCGAGTGTGGTAAAGGTGCTTGTTTTGAGTAGTGGAGGTATCGTCTGACTACCAAAGCTCAGATGTTGGCCGCAGGCTGCCCTTTGCTGCCATGGCTCCAATGCGTGCTGATGTTGGCCTCACGGCTCAGAAGCTGTTGCGGGAATTTCAACTGTGGACAGTATTGGATTTCAAAAGATCGAAAGATGCGTTATGAGCAACAGAAGTAACAGCAACATGAACTTCTAGTATTACTGTAGTTCCCATTGTTTTAACTATGAGCATGATGGCAACATATAGTACAGAGCATTCTTGTCATATCAGTCAACACAGACCCTTCACCCTTCCAGTCCTGCTATGAAGGCTGGCCGTGGAGGATGGACTGGGGTGGGCACGACCCGGCATCCCCAGTGGCTGAGATGCACCTGGGCTAGCAAGAATCGGATGAAGGGCTCGCGACTTCAATGGTGCTGGGTCTAGTTGTCTCCCTTTTTTCCCTGCGCTATGATTGGCTCAAGAAGCTTCCCTTCTGAAGCTCACGGTGCTGGATCCCTCTGCTTGGTGTTGACAGAACTGCCCTTGAGCATGATGCTCGGTTTTGGTACCCGTAGCGGAAGGTGACCCCACCATACAGAAGGAAGGTTGGTTTGCGCAGCCACCAGGCTGCTGAGAAGTTTGCTTGCAACGCTTGTGCAGGCACATCAATTACCACAACACCGGCTGGGGCATCATGATCTTCGCGGCGTGCAGCAAGAAGAACCACCACGAACTAGAGAATTGAGAGTGCTTGCAACAACCTCTTGCTGCCACGAGGTGTTGCCACAACTTAGTGAACGTGGCCAGGTCGGGCTTGGTTAAGCACTTGGGGTTGCGGGTGTAGGGTCCCGGAAACAGTACCTCAGATCATTGACTCTCTAGCAAGATCTCCAAGCAACGGCCGGACAGACTTTTTGCGTACCTTCGGTGTTTCTTTCTTGCCAGGGTCCAACCACAATTCCGAACATGTAAACTCGGGATTGAGGTTTGCACCTCCGTCTTGTACCTCATGACCAAGCGCTGAGCCAGCTCTTGTGGCTGTTGGAGACGGGTCGGGGAACTCTGCAACTACCCGTGTCCTCAAGCAAGACGAGCTTGTTCGCTTAGGCGGAATTTAAGGAAATCATGCTTTTTAAGTATCCACAAGTGGATGAGTGGATGTGCCATGTAGCAATAATTACGTCTGACTGACGCAGTTTTCTGGCAAGCGTGTGCGGACTTTTTGCAGAGAGCCCTGGACCTTCAAGCACTTGTGTGCAGAAGCTGTACTTTCCATCGCGTTGGGCATTCATGACCCCCAACCTAACCTACGGGTGCTATGCGGCTCGAAATCGCAAAACTCCATCGAACTCTGTTTGTAGGAGAGAGTAGAGTGTGAAAGACTGATACAGCACAGCCGTGTAATCTCGCCCAATCGATGCCACATGTTGCTATTTGGATGTTTGGAACTCGGTAATGGCTATTTCTTGGTTCATCTCAGTTGCGGCCACGTTGGATTAACAGGCATGTTGCCAGCTGCTCAGCGAGGGAAACGTGCAGTGCGTTGGACGCAGCACTTTACATGACACGGCCTCTGCAGTCTTTCTCGTGGTTCCCGACACACTGCATTGCGTAGATGCTGTGTTTTTGAAGGCGTAAACAGGCCCGTTCCCTCTGAGTCTTGGATGCTGGCTGGCGTCGTTAGCGCGGAACATAGAAAAGACACGCGTCGAGTGTGCGGGCTTTTCTTCGTGCCTGCACCACCGTGTGGGGGTAGTATCCTTCGGCCCCTCATCTGGGAAAGCAGAGCCTGGTACTCGTTGACTTTTTCCTGACTTCCAGGTGAGGCAGCGGGGAGAGAAAGGAGGAATGAATCGCCAGCACCGGCAGGAGGACAGCTCCCGAGCCGTGTGGTAGACAGTCTATGGGGCCGTTTAGTTCTTAGGCTAAGTGTAAGGAGAAGAGGTGAGTGTGTTTGCGAGGCGAGAGTGGCGTGAGCTTTCCCCGGCACGCACTCCCGCTGTGCTGCACTGCATTTTCTGCGCTCATGTCCTACAAAAAATTGCGTGTGTGTGTGTGTGCATATCTATATAATCTATATATATATATAATTATATAGTTATATAATTATATAGTTATATAATTATATAATTATATAATTATATAATTATATAATTATATAATTATATAACTAT